TAGCAGTGAAGCAAAGCACTGGCTGGTAGAAGATAAGGACTTCTCAACCTAACTATGCAGGTCTCCTCACAGTCAAGAGTCTTCTTATCCCATCCTTAGTATTTTTGAGCAAGAATTCTTGTACTGATTTCCTGTTAAGCACCATGTTGGTTTGAGAATATGTTAAGTCATATCTGAAACACAGATTTTTAAAAAGGCATGCACAAGACATAGCTTAAAGAAAATGATGGGCCACAGAGAAGTGTTGCGTAATTGATAAGCTTTGATTTATGTGATATTAGTGATATTTATGTAATACGAATAGGTATAAACATTGTGAGTTAAAAATAAGAACTAACTGAGCACATTGGGAACTATGAACATCTTCAACTTTTCTTTCTGCGACTTGCATTTTATCACTTTAGTGTTTATTATGCTTTTTACAAAAGGATGCAGCAACAAAAAAGGGACAAAAAGTTTGTGGAAGGAAATCAAAAATTGGCAAAATGGAGCATGGGATTTTCTGCAAATTTCGGTAAGGGAAGCCTCACTAAATGACCCAAAAAACCAAAACAGAATCAGTGCCTGTCTGTGTGCTCATGTTTGCAGTAAGGAGCTTGGTGTCTAGCGTGAATCAGTGAAGAGAAAGCCATCACTTTTACTTTCAGTGATTGGTTGAATTGATGACAGCAGGTTTCACTGGTCTTAGAAACAAAGTAAAAGAAAATAGAAAAAGGATAATAGGAGCATGGTTTCATTTTTTATAGGCTCAGTCCTGTCATTGCATACATGTGAATCTCTATATCCATGCAGTCACAGATGATGTTGGCACATATCAGCAGAATGTAACACTTTCATTACCTTCCTAGAGTTGCTGAGCTCCAGGAATGGTAGTTAGGAGCTACATTTTGGCTGCTCATTTCTCTCTTAAATCTTTCACTCCAAGGAACTGCAAGCACTCTCCTTTCAAGTCAGCAGTGCTCTCCTTTATAATCACGGTCCAGTCATTCTACTTGGTTCTTGAAGCACTGCACCTCCAGGCACCCGGAGAAGTAATTCAAACCTCTCTGGGCCCTCCAGGGTGGGATGTCCCTGGTCTTCAAGGATCATCACTCAGAACGTCTGCATGTTCATTCCTGGGGCAAAGTCCAGATTTTGACTGATGCCAACGTAATCTCTTCCAGCTGGCAGGGAGTGAGAATACACTCATGAGACTAGGATTCACTGCTGTAAATTTACTTTTCCAGAGAAAAATGGGAAGATCTCACCAATTCTGCAGCATTCTCTTTTGTACTCAGAACTCTCAGTGTCATGTATTTTGGAGTCTCAATCCTCAGAAAGGGGGAATTTCCTTATTCTATCAAAGGCTAAGTTGTTGCTCGTCCCATGTCCATAGCCACCTTATGAAAGCAGGCCCATCTCTTTCCCCTCATGTCCACACAGACCCCATGGATTGGCTTGCTCAAGGCCACTTCAATTTGAAACAGAAGGATTTGTTTTATTACTAATCATGAAGATAACTCACAAACTTGACTTTGGGTAGATGTCACTTATTCATATGTGCCAGGCTTCTGGTTTAATATTAAGATATGCTGCTCAGTTTTATCCAGCCATGATGTTTCTGCCATTCTCTGGCTTATTCATCACTTTTGTAAGTTGACAAATCTGATCGTAAAATCTCTTCACTACTTATTTGAAAAGCCATCAAATGTGATGATAGCAACAATGATAAACCCAGGGAAGAAAACAGAAACTGCCAAGGGGTATAAATGTAGAAATAATTAAAGGAACAGATATTTACATTGTCTCAGAATACTTCTCCATAAAAGTTTTTAGGAATTGCGAAAGAAAAAAGGTGTAATTTTGCAATGGGCAGATATCACCTTACCCAAGTGGTCAGAGGTACCACTGGTACTGTAATGGGATAAAAAGAATTGCCATTTGATAGGATGTAGTGGGAACATAGTTATCTCTGATAGTCCTGTTGAAATATATAAGCTGAATCTAATAATAAGGAAACCAGTGGATGAACTCACATTGGAGGAACATTCTATATGCTACAGAACACAGATTACTACCTTTGAAAACATCAAGGTGAAAAACCAAGAAAGGAAAAGGAACTGGTCTAGATTGTTGGGAATGAAAGCAGACACAACAACTACCTTACACGATTCTGGACTGGATTCTTTTGTTATGCAGAGTGATTTGAGTGCAACTGGTGGAACTTAAACAAAGGCTTAGGAATAGATTGTTGAAATGCATGAAGTGAATTCACCAATCTTATGCTTGTATTGGGTATTCTGAATTTTTGGTAGGTGCTACTCTAAGTTTTCAGAGTAATGGTTCCAAATTTACTCTTGATGGCAGAGGAAAAAGTGTTTCAGTGCACTTGTTGCTTTCTATAAGTTTGAGATTAATTTTTAAAGCTCATCACACAATGGCATTAATTGAAAAACAAAATGGGCTTATGGCAAACCTTGCCAAAGCAGGAGAGTAATGGGAAGATGTTTTGTACCTCATGCAATTTGGTTCAAATCTTGGCCCATCATTTGTTTATACAAATGGATTGACTTTATGGAGACTCTGTTTCCGCAACTATAAAAGTCCAGCTATGTTACCAGGTCATTATGAAGATTACAGACAATCTGGTAGTGTTGCCAGCACAGTTTGTGGCAAATAACAGGCACCAAGTGCCTAGAATTTATGATTTTAATGTAGCAAGTTATAATAAATTATGAATACTTATGAAAAATTATTATTTATTAACCAGCCTAAGCGGATGTCAGATATTTACTAGGTTCTATAGACTATGAAGTATGTAGTAAAAGCTGGCAGCATATCACAACCTCTGCAATACCTTGAATTGAGACACCTGGAAACAATAATGTAGCAAAGAGAGAAGGAAGAAGAGCCCCAAGAAATAAGAAAGAGTCAACCACAAAACTGAAAGTCAGAGAAACTTGAGAAACTGAATACAATGAAGAGGAAAGAATGAAGCATCTGAAACACTAATCCTTGCTCCCTGGGAGGGGAACTCATCTCCCCAGATATAATGTAAGCCTGGAGATTATAGGCAGCCCCAGGGTGAAACAATGCACTGGCAGCACTGGCCCTAAGGAAAGCCCCTGGTTATTGCAAACTGAAAATACTGTATAGGACTTTATTCTGAAAGAGACTCCTGCAAGGCATGCTAGAACTGGAGAAGAAATCCGTATTTGAGCAAGGTTAATCATGAGCCACTTTGGGAAGGAGTTAACTGTTTAATACTAAGCTTTCAAGGAATCAGAAGCCACAGAACAACTATACTTCAGGGTTTCTGGGGTCCCCCTGCCACAGTGACTAGGTGGGAGATGACCACAAGAGAGTCACAGAGAGGGCCCCGTCCTGAGAAGTTTAAGCAGTTGTGAGCTCAGGCTGGGAAGGACATGGTGACCCTACCTTCTGTGATGTGGCAGGTTGAATGTGGTTTTCTGAGGGAGCTGGCTCTGAAATAATTGGCATTAAGTCGAGCTGACTGCTTGTTCCTCTACACCATTCCCCTTGCTGCCTATGTCTAGCTCAGAGGTTGGTGGTCTCTTTGCTCTCCTCCTATACCAAGATGATCAAGGATATTCTTTGGCTGGGATGGTTCCCACATCCTGGGCGTATGAATAGAGCGGCCTCTCTGGAGCAAGGAGGGCACCGCACAAGCCCACTCCTAGGTGGAGACAGCAGTGATTCAGAGGGTAAAGAGGGGAATAAACATGTAGAGCTGCTGGAGTGAATATATCCCTAACGATGCGACCAAACCACCACTGGTTGATCCTGCTTAACAGGAAAGGCAGGACATGACTCAGAAAACACACAAAAATAGTGGGTATGGAAACAAAATAAGCACTAGGTGTTACTCACTATCCTTCCTCCATATCTGGTGGATTTTAATACTGCATGCCTTGGAAGGAAACTACTCACTCAGACACAAGGAGGAATTTTGGGGGACTCATCTCTCTTTTCTTTTTTTATTTCCTACTCTTTTGCTCTTTTTAAAAATTCTTTTTCCTTATTGTTATTTTTCTGTTCTTTCTTTCCTGTTACTGTTACCTAATTCGATTAATGCTTTTTATTTTTAATTGGATTATGTATTTCATTTTTCTCTCCTCCATTTCATCTTCCTATTCTTTTTCAAATTTTACTTCATTCATTTTCCCTTCCCCTTCTACGAAAAAAAAAATTGCTATCTTAAATCTAATGGAGATTTTTTTGAAGAGTACACAAGGAAGAAAATACGAAACTTTTGAATTTAAACTTTGAAAAATGTCTTTTTTTTTAATGGAGCAAAACTGGTCCACTACGTATTTCTGAGGTCCGGTCCATAGGATATAGGTACCATAACACCAAGCAAAGCCATTCAGGAGGCCAAAAATAATCAAACAAATGAAAAATCACTTTTGATCTCACTCATATTTTTCCCTGTTCTATGGTTGTTTTAAAGACACAATTTCAAACAAAACATTATAGTACCTGATAAATTTACCCCATGCACTGGAGAGCACATAAACTGCTCAAACTCAGCTCCCTCTGTTTATCTCAGCAACTCATAGCTTGCGCCTAACAGAAGTGTAGTTGAGAGATGAAGCTTTCAATCCAATTTGAAACTAGTAATATAATAGTCTGATCCTTGTCTTGTCTTTATTACTATTTTCTTTAAAAAATCTTTATAGAAAGGGCAATGCCACCCTAAGATAATAATACTGTGCTTGATACTTCTTATGGCACCTGTGAGGGAAGGGTGTGTGTTGAGAAAAAATGAGCCCTTTTCTTCTCCAGCTCAATTTCAGTTGAGCTTTCCAACTGAAAAGGTCCCTTAGGAAGAGAGGTCCAGATGTTTCCACATGGATCTCCTTTGCATCCTGTGCTATTGGAAACACTCTTTTTTTGTTTGAGACAGGATATTGCTGTGTACCCTAGGCTGGCTTTGAACCTGTAGTCTTCCTGCCTTAGCCTCATGAGGGCTGAGATTGCAGGTATGTGCCACCATGCCTGGCTCATCCTCTGCCAGTTGAAGAAGCATGCGCTGACTGTTGTCAGAGAGAATCCTTGTGCTGCTAAGGTGTGGTAGTCCTGACTGGGAATTTGGAAACTTGACTCAGATCCTTTTCTTCGCTTCTTTCCAAGTCTTATGTAACCTCTTTGTGTTTGATCTTTCCTTCCTTCCTTCCTTCCTTCCTTCCTTCCTTCCTTCCTTCCTTCCTTCCTTCAGAAATAAGTCATACACAAGCATTTTAATCTTCTTACATTTATATTTTGACCTGGTTTTGGTGATATCTTTCTTTTTGAAAAGTTCCTTACACGTATGGAAAAAGGAGAGCATCAGATATTCCTTTAAAAGATAATAGAGCTGAATTTGCTTTTCTCCAGCTGGAGGAAAGTACGAATAGAAGAAGGCAGCTAATGCCAAGAGTGAAGAAGCAGGAAATGAACTTACCATCCTCATGATCAGCCAGGATAATCACCTGGGTGGTGGGGAATTTGGCTCCCAGCTGTCCTCCCACTGGTAGGCTCAGGCAAACATGAAAGGATTCCTCCTCTTCATCAAAAGAATCATCGATGATGAGGACCTGGCAGGTCTTCTCAGTTTCATCCCTGTCAAAGTGCAGGATGCTGCTGTGGTCTGCTGGTCCTGAGACATAGTCAGATGCCACTATGGAAGGAATGGAGCCTGTGGAAGAACCTAGAATTCTAAATGAAAATTCCCCATCAGTTCTTTAAACTATTTTTAGATAGTAGTTGTCTGAATTATAAGGAACATTTATTTTTCCCAGTTACAAACAGTACTATTAACAGGCTGTATTAGTTAGCTTTTTTTAATGGGACAAAATACTAGGGATAAACAACTTAAAGGAGGAAAGTTTTATTTTGGCCCACAGCTTTAGGAGTCTCCTCTAGGGCTGGTGTGCTCCATTGCTTTTAGGCCATCATGGTGAAAGCAAGCCTCTTAACTCAAGGCAACCAGGAAGCAGGGAGAGAAGGAAAAGCCGGGGACAAACTACACTCTTCAAAGACTTGTGTCCGATGATCTTGTTCTTCCAACTGGACCGTACAGTGCTTAAAGTTTCCACCATCTTGCAATAGTGCTGGGCGGCACATTTAAGGCCCACCACATAAGAAAGGCTTTTAAAATCTTGTTGTATTTTGACATGATCCAGATTTGGTGACCTTAGAGTATACTGAATAAGGTTTGTTTTTATTAGAGGTTAAGTGAAGAAAATAGGCTGTTAGGGCTCGCTTAGCCCAAATCCTTCATGTTATAGATGGGAAAGCGGAGGGGCAGAAAAATTAAGACCAGAAACTCTATAGCATCAAAATGGTGTAGATAGAATTGTTCCTTTCCCTGTTTTGCCCACAGTGACATAGCCACGAGCAGTGTGTATGTAACCTTTTCCTTATACTCTGATTAGAGTTCCTTGTACGACTTCCTAAAACAGCCACAAAATGGCTTGGGTATTGTATAAGGAGTGCAGCATTGACTGGAGGATTTAGGTTTAGATTCTGTGCACGTGAAACTTTTTAATAATAATTTTATTACATTAACAATCATCACAATTGGGTGAAGGGAGGGCAGGGGTAAGGGGAAAAAATGAGAATCAAGACTTGTCATGTAGAGGTACAAGATCCCAACAATGAATGTAACTGTACTGTATCCCTAAAATGTACCAATAAACTCAATTAAAGCTGAAAAAAAAGAATCATCACAATTTGATGAGTTTTGACAAATACAAAAATTATGTAACCACAAACCATCATAACATAGAAAAAGAATCCACCCACAAATGTTGACTTATATCCCTTACAATCCATCTCATTCCCACTCTTTCAGCCCCTAGAAATCACAGATCTGCTTTTCATCACCATATATTTATTTGCCTTTATGAGAATTTCATTGAAGTGGAAACATACCTTTAAGATCTGGATTCTTTCACTGAGCACAGTGATTTTGAGATTCATCCATGCAGTATAACTGTTCCCTTTCATCCTTATTGTGTGGCTATACCACAGTTTATTCACTCATTTACCAGTTGATACCTGGGTCTTTCTAGTTCTTAATTATTCTAAATAATACTTTAATTACTATGGTAGATTCATGTTTGAGTGGGCATGCAATGTTATTGCTCTGTACTATATACTTAGGAATGGACTTTATGGGTTTCTATACATTTCTAAAGTATTAAAAAATGCATAGGTTTGGAGCTAAAAGAGCAAAAAGAAGTCACAGTAATTTAAATGATTTAGGCAGACCAGATTTAGGTAAAAGAAAAACTATAAGATAATTCAGAATATTAAGCACTTTTGGTGTGTGATTACCACACATAGCACACGGAACAACATCCTCAGCACCCTTTCTTAAAATTTTGAGACAGGGTCTCACTAAATTACCAGGTTTCCCAGGATGGAATTAGATTTGTAGTCTTCCCAACTCATCCTCCCACAGTTCTGGGCTTACACGGATGCTGGATAGATAGCAATTTTTGGAAAATAAGAATATTTCTTACCATGCTTCTTGTGACAGGTAAGCTGTACTGTAAAGTTGACTGGCTTGGAGTGAAGCACACTCTGGCTGTGTTTGGAAGTGTCATGGAGGTGTGACTTTGGTAACCTGGAGTCCCAGGCCTCCTCATCTGTGGTGCTGTTGCCTCACTCTGTTTTCCATGAACTGAGCCACTTTGCTGTGATATGCCTTTTCATTATGATATTTCTGCACTGGGGACATCCCAACATGAACCAAATCCTTTGAAACCATGAGCCAATAAATCTCTCCAGCAGGGAGGAAAATGAGATGAGATGAGGTGGTCAGTGAGGTCTCTGTTCTTCACCAGCTTCTCCACACGTGCCCTAGGGCTCTATAGAGTCTTACACTGGGTTAGTGCCTGGGAGCTGGGAGAATGGCTAAGGATGCTCAGATCAGTCTTGTGCTCTTGTTCTGGGTCTCCCAGACATGACTGGAGAAATAAGGGAATAAATGGTCCAATTTGGTAAATCATTTATAAGTGCTATGCTGGAAGGGTCCGCTAAAGGACTGCCTATCTCTCTATCCATGGAAATGAATCAGGAAGTGTGGAGTGTCCTGCTAGGAGTCAGCTGGTAAAGAGGTTACCTCTTTCCTTGGGAGAGCTTCTCGTAGGGTTCCTCTAAGATCAAATTTCCATAAGGTGTTCAGAAATGAAAAGTGGCACCTAAGACTTGACCCAGAATTCCTATGCAAAAGTCTATTTTCATACTCTCAGTGGAACAAAAAGCGGGAAAAAAGTTTTTAACTGAGTCGGGGTCCCTTCCTGGACACTAAAACGCCATACACATGGTAGCATCCTGACTCATGGACATCACTTTGTGAAACTGTAGGGGTATGAAAATTGTATTTCATATCATGTACCATTGTAGTATTTTTCCTCATCTCCATGAATACTTAAATGTCTCAGAGGACAAAGGTTCAATTTGATTACTTAAAACCTCTTAAGAACTCTTGTTAAAATAAATGTTTAACAATTACATATTTTCATAAAAATATGAGCATTTTCAGTATTGACATTTGAATGGAAATCTTATGCATGCTTGTATGCTATTAATAATTCATCAGTAGTAAATGCTGTCACAGATAGATGAAGGACGTGATGAATTTCATGCTGTGCTTTCATGGGGACCTCATGTTCCCATCACTGCAATTTCCATCTGCACTTTCTACCTGGGCAAAATGTCCCTGATCGGTGCTCTCATTAGACAATGACCTGGGGGCTTTGTATTAAAAAAAAAGTTATTTGGGGGAGAAAGAACTGGTAGAATTCATTCTCCATTACTGATACATGACAAGCAGAAGCATAGGTTTAAAATGAAATATATGAAAGGACAGGGCCCAGACCATATATAAAAACAGAGTCCCGGCCCACATTTTTCAGAAAGAAGTCCAGCAGGCCAAGCCCCAAGCTCTGCTACCAATCAACACCAAATGGTTGGGACTTAATAACTGTCAACTTTCCTAACTTCTACCCATACCTGTAACTAGGACCAACTGCAGAAAGCCAGAGATGCTCTCCTTAACCAACCACATAGGATGCCCTGCTTCTTCCTAACTCACCCTCAGCCTCCCTAAGCCAACAGCCTCCAATCAGGGTATACCTGATACCTTCTCTTTTTTCCACTCTGAAGTCTTCCCACTCTTTTGCCTGCCCTTGAGTCTCTGCTGAGTGCAAGCCATGGTGACTAACTCCTTTGCTTCTAGCAAGATCTGAATTCATAGCCTTCTTGTGTGTATTCATTTAGGTGGTCTTTTTTATTTCTGCAGTTTTTGTTTATTGTATAATTGCTAATAAGGTAGAGAACACGACCTTAGGAAACATGGTGCAGGACAGCTATATTTTGACTGTACCAAAAAGAGAAGTCAGAATGGGACCTCATGTGGGGGTATGAGCATAACTGGTCTCAGGACTGGGGACATTTGAAGTTATAAGATGGGAAGGATAAAATGAGAGACTGAAAAGTATATACGGACTACTTTATACTGTTGTCCTAAATCGATGAAGACCCACAAAAATAATGCCTCATTTATATTTTCCACTAGCATATATAAACTATTTCCATATACAATGTCTTATTTAAATCTCACAAAACTTTTTAAGGTTGTCACAGTAGATGCTTTTGTCCCAGTTTTGAGTGAGAATGTATCTCTGGTTGAGAAGTCTGGTTCAGAGCAGTTGAGGTGCTGGAGAAGGAAGGAAGCCGTGATTGGCCTAGGTGGCCAAGCCCTGCCCCGGGCTTTCTCACTGCTCACTACTCTCAGCCTTGCCCTGGTGTCATCTGACTCATCAAGGACCTGCCTCCAAGGACCCAGAGCCACATACCTTGATGCGTTGAGCAAATGACTGTTAGTTCCTGGCTTGGATCACCAGACCATCTTACAGGAATCAAAAGCTCCCCAACATCTTCTTCTATTTTGTGCTCTGCTTCTGGAATATAAACTGTTGACTCTGAAAAAAATACGGTAGAAGACATTTCAGAAAGATTTATATTTGGTTGGTAATATTTTAACACACCTGAGAAGAAAATGTACATGGTATTTGGACGCTAAATTTTTCAACATGATTAACTGTATTAAAAAGCACAGGACTGGGAAACAATATGTATTATTAAATAATCATATAAAAGCATGGAATTGGATTTAGGAGACTCATTTGAAAGATTAGAAAGGATGACAAGCTTAAAAATGGAAAGAAAAGTCCTGCCATAAGAGTTCTCTCCTCCCAAGGCCTTCTAATAGAGATCAAATACATACTGTTTATTTTTATAAAGAAATCTTTTTAATGATCAGACAAAAGAAATTATTAATGAAGGAAATATTTTCCTGCTTTACTCCACAACTTATTCAATATTTATCTAGCAGACACTGTATAAGGTACTGTGTTGGTGTTTTCAAATGCTGCAAAACTGTTACCGAGCTGGGTACATAAACCTGTATACAGGTGCACATGCACATCATTAAAACATTAACTGAAATGTCAATATGAATATTAGTTATGCTGATAGAATGACACTCACTATTGTTTATGATTTTAATGTTTTCCAAGGTTTTTCAGTAAGCCTGTGCAATGTAACTAAAATGTATCTGTTTAAGAATTAAAAGCTCCAAGTAGATTGTTACCATCCTTCATGTTAAAGGGAGAATATCTGAATCAAATTATAATTAATTTTAATAATTAGTTATTTCCCTTCCAATACCAGATATCCAGATAGGTTCTTCCTTTTGATAAAGCAAGCAAAAAATCGAAGTATTGTATGAGACCTTCCTTTCTTCTTTCAGAACTATTACTAAATTAGAATTCGGTGTTAAATTATGTAAAATTTATCTTCTTAACCAACCACATCATGTTAAAATTTTATCTTCTTACTTTTCTGACTCCATGAAATTCACCAATACTGGTAACAACCTTTAGGGAAACGGTGGTCTTGAGTTCCAGTGGGGAAAAGACCAGTGATGATTTTCTTTCCTCCATCCTATGTTCTAGTGTGGTCTACTATCTTGGCATTATTCAATTCAACAAGTTGGCACCAGGAAGAAGCTAGAATAAAGTTAAAGTTCTCATGAAGTGTGATAAAAGTCGCTCCACAGGACTCAGTTATTCATTCATGTCCTCTATTTTCCCAGTTTTGAAGACCTGCTCCTCACACTGCCTTGTAAAAGCTTGCTTTTCAAGCTTGAAAACTACTTGCTTTTCAAGACTCAACTCAAAGCCTGCTGCTTCCATGGCCCTCACTTGCTTTGTCCATGATTATCACTTGACTTCTTTACCATTTTTGCATGTATCTTACATTTGGTTTCGTAACTGGTTCCTGTATCTAAGCACTGTTAACCAATAAAATTGATCTGATGCTTTGTTCATTGGACAGTGGCAGCCATGTTTCCTACTTCTTTTGAATTGGTCAAGTGCAGACCATATAGAATAGTAATTATCAAAATATGTTCCATCCAATAAAACTAGAATGCAAAACATTTAAAGGATATTCCTTGGAAATGACTAAAAGCACTACTGTTCCAGGTTGGCATGTGTTAAACAAAATTAATCAGATTTGTTTATAGGAAAAATTTCCAAGATCCTTAATATGCTAATAAGAATTATGCTGTTTCCAAAAGGTGATGGGGGTTGTAATAGTTCCTAGACTTACTTGTCCATGGGAAGCCTCTGATTTTGACATTCTATTATGCTAGTGTTTGGGACATGATAATACCGGGGATTTTTTGTAGAGCCCAGTGGAGTGCAAAGCCACACCTCCAGTTTGTAAATTCTGCAGCTCTATGTGCTGCATGAATTCTCTCAATCACTGTCTCATTAAAATTAAAAAGTGAATTCTAAAGGTCCCTATTAAAGAATAATCTTCTTTGCCCCAAAGAGGCAGCAAAATACTATCATTAGGAGAATTTTCTTCCTGTTTAATTTTCCTGGATATTTGCTGCATGAATGAATTCATAAATTCACTGATGAATTCAAGAAGATGACATACAAATGTAAAACAGAACTTCATGGAATATGTGCTAAAACATATAGGTCAGGAGACACCCAGAAGCCACATGTAGGACAATGGCTATCTAAGTCTACACCTGATTTACAGAATGGGCTGCAGAAACTCCTAGAAGTGTGCAGTTGGGTCTGGAGTAAGCTCTGTGGATTAGCCTTCGGGGTGGCAGGACTATTTCACATCTATCATGCACTGGAAGCTTAAAGTGAGGATTTGTGGATATCTTAATGGAATCCTAGTACAGATTCTCTCTCTTTTAATCACCTATATTTCTTTTCAAAAAATGCTGGAAGCCAATGAAACATTACTACCGTGAAGCAATTTACTTCACACTACATCTTAAGTGGGGTGTGAACTGACCCAGTGGTTCACAGAGCTTGAGGAAGGTGTGCATGCTGGAAATGGATCCACAAACCTGTGTGGACCAACAGGACACATGAATGCACATCACATACCATCTCCAGGGTCCACAATTTCAACAGTTGCCGTTTCGGGAAACTCCAGTGCAACCATGCCAGGTTCTGATAGAATGATCTGGAAAGTTTCTGAGACTTCGTACTCATCGTCGTGTATGATTCTCACCTTCCACATGGCTGTGGTCTGTCCAGGGCTGAATCTGATCCTTTGAAAGGCTCTTCCTTTAAAATCTTTATCTTTTTTTTTAAAGTTTCATCTTTGGTTCCAATGGCTGGATTAAAAAAAATCAGGAAACTGTGAATATAAAGTCAAGTGACTGAAGAAAGATTCTTTCAAGGTTGATTCTGTTGTTTGTGGAAGTAGATAACATAGACATTGCTCCTTTTAGTGTCCCCACAAGAAATTAATAAATGATCTTCTGATAAAAAGAGTTCAAATAAGCATAAGTGAACTGAATTGAGAGGAAAGCAGGTAAGAGTTATGACAGAAAAACAAGTCATTAACTTATTTATTTCAGCATATGTACACCAAGGGTCTCCGAATGTACCATACTCTGCAAGGTGCTCAGGATCCAGAGATGAATAAAAAACAATCCCAGTTACTAGAGATAATACTATAAAGAGAAGACACTGGAAAATGAGCTCTTCTGGAGGTAGGAATCTTTGGTTGCTTTGTTCATTGATGAATTCCTGAGACAGAGCCTGGCACACAGTAGGTAATCAATAAATATTCTTGAGTACCAATTTCTTCAGTGTTTGGAGGAATGACACTATGGGTTGTGTTCTCATTCAGATTCTTCCTTGTGGTGGCTTATTTCCTCAACTCTTTAGTGATTTTTGGCTGGGAGAGAAATCTTAGTAATTTCCTGGGAGTTAGATTAGTGGAAATGGAAAGGCAGGGGTAGACGGGAGCTCTGTTAGGAAGCAGAATTCAAGATGTGCTAGGAGACCAGACAGCAACAGTACAACAAAAACAAAATCATGCTAAAATGGCAAATGTTAGATACAATAGTGAAAAATATAATGGCTGCCTTCTTGGCTGAGTTACTTTCTTGTTGCTGAGACACAATACCAACACCCACAACTTAAAGAAGGAGAGGTTTATTTTGGCTCATGGAGTTTTACAAGTTTCAGCCTGTGCTTGGTGGGCTCAAATGCAGAAGGGCCTGGCTAAGAGGAAAGCTGCTTACTGCATGGTAGCCCAGAAGCAGAAGAGCAAAGGAAAGAGCCAGAGATCTACTTTTCCAGTTCATGCCCCAGTAACCCACCTCTTCTGCCTAGGCCCCCACCTCCTAACCTCCTGACATTTAGCCATAAATTCATCAGAACCTTATTGATCTGATTCATCTTCCAAAAGCCCCATTCTAAACTCAAGAGACTTTCTGGGAATATCCCAGGTCTAAACCATAACACCTGTTAATACCAAATGAATCCTCTCCTAACTACAAAATGTTCAAGCAGCATTTAAGCATTGTTTGGTTTTTATTTTAATGTCCAAAATGAAGGCCCAGTGAGGCAAGAATACTCATGCCTCCCCACTTTAGCTCTCACCAGGAGGTTTAGGATCTGCAGTCGTGAAAGCGTGTAAATTCAAAAATTATAAGCTAAAGAAGTAAAAGCAGCAAGTAAATATATGAAAAAATGTTCCACATCACTGGTCATTAGAGAGGTGTAGATGAAAACAACACTGAGATTCCACCTCACCCCACAAAGAATGGCTTCTACCAAGAAATCAACCAATAACAAATGTTGGCTCAGTTGTGGGGAGAAAGGAACCCTTCTCCATTGTTGGTGGGAGTGCAGACTGGTGCAACCACTATGGAGATCAATATGGAGATACCTCAAAGAGCTGGGACTAGAAGTTCCATTTGACCCAGCCATCCTTCTGCTGGGTATCTTTCCAAAAGAATTAAAAGAATCATACCACAGTGATATATGCACACCTATGTTTATAGCGGCACAGTTTGTAATAGCTACAACTTGGAAACAGCCCATTTGCCCATCATTTTGAAACTGGCTAAAGAAGATGTGTTTTTTTTCTATAAAATGGAATACTACTCAGCCATAAAGAATGAGAAATTAGATTCATTCATAGGAAAATGGATGCATATTGAGGATATACTCCTAAGTGAAATAAGTAAGTCACATATGTGTAAATACCGAATAGTTTCTCTGGTGTGAAAAAGTATAATAGTACATAAGATCCTAATGAGATATTTGACAATGTGAAATAGGAAGAAAAGGGCTAAAGGTGTAGGGTAAGTGGGAAGGGTAGGGGAAAGGTAATAAGGGAAAGAAAAAAATAGGAGAAAATGAAAAAATGGAAACAAAAATATTTGAAAATGGGGAGGGGAGGAGTGAGTGAAGGGAGGGCAGGGACAAGGGAAAAAATGAGAACCCAGACCGGTCATGTAAAGGTACAAGATCCCAATAATGAGTGTAACTCTACTGTATACCTAAAATGTACCAATAAACTCAATGAGATAAAAAACCAACAAAAATTATAAGCTGACACTAGCTGTGGTGAAGTTCTTCACATAAGTGAGATTAATAGCTTCTTTGTGCAATTCCTTTGCCTCTTTCTCAAATAGTCTGAGATCTTATAAAATATACCCACAGCTGTAAAAGAGGAAAATAATTTCTAAGGGAAGATAGCTAGTGTTTTCTTTGCAAAACTGCTGCTTTCATGCTAGTGAATGGTCTTCATGAAAGTGAGTGCCCACACTTAGGACAAACTTCCTTTGGCCATAGGTTGGAAGTGAAGAACTAAGGAAGGGGGAATGATGTCCTCAGCTGAAACTTAAATACAGCAAGGAATCAGATCACTGTTATAGGAATGGAGCAGGCATGTGGCTATTTGCTTAATATATTTGGTGAGCTTTGGGTCTGCTCAAGGTGCTGAAAATATCATACAGAATTGGGTCCAGTCACCATTATCCGCAAAAAGTTTCTCACGTTTGGGGAGAAAAACAGAAGAACAGGTGGTTTTGGTTCTGTTTGCCAATGCCATGGAGCAACAGTGGTAGTTACCATTCATGAAGCATTAGCTGTGTACCAGGGACCATGAGTGGCTGATTTATCATGTATCATCCACCCATGCTTGAGGTGGATAATGCACATAGAATCACTGAAGCTTTTGGGGACACTACCAAAAAGAATAAGTGACAGAACAGAAAGCCAAACTCCACAAAGTTGTGCCTTTGTCTTCTAGATCTTGTGCTTTCATAACCCTGGCCTGCCGTGGGATGGAGACATTAGGAAGACTGTCTGAAGCATCAGAGTAAAGGTGTCGTGGAAGTGCACTTCTTTGGCGTACATGTGGTTTGGGGTAGTGTTGTATGAGTAGGGCTGCCTGTAGTTCACACAACTGCCTGTGTTGGATGACTACCATATGCCACATGTTGGCGGGGCTGGGAGTAACTGAAGACATAGTTGCTGACTATATGGAACTGGATATCTACTGAAGAAGCAGACAGAGAACACAGATCCATTACACACCCCAAGGGATGGCAAGCGTTACAATGAGCACAGGCAGAGCAAGGGGAGACCATAAGGCAGAGGCACTGGTTTAAGACAGCTGGAAGTTCTTTGAGGGCTTTATTCTGTGACCATTCAAATGGTTCTGGGAATAGAGATTTTTTTCCTCAACTAGAACACAAAAATGCTTCCTGAGCTACTAACCCTAATTCAGAAGAAGGACTTGAGATGCAAAATGGTGGAGACAGAGTCCTACAAGAGAAAGGAGGCATTTTTCAGCTGAAGTAGACAAGGTAATCTGGGGTGCTGACTAAGGCTCTGACTGATTTTTTTCTGAAGGGAACGTTCCTATTCCACAAGCCCCAGACTGGGAAAAGCTTACCTTTCCTTGGTCGCCTATTTTTCTCTAGCCCATTTCCTTCCTGGCTGTTCTCCAACAGTTCTGACCTGTTCACTAAATGCTGAGTGAAGTCCTGCTTGTTTGGGAGACTCAGCAAGCCCATTTGTAAAATGAAGATAGCACACCTGCATTTGTCTCCTTGATAGATGACGAAAATAAAGACAAAGTCATTTCTGAAAGTTCTTTTTTTTTGGTACTGGGGATTGAACTCGGGTCCTTGTGTTTGCAAGCCAGGCCACCAAACCGCTGAGCTAAGTCCCCAGCCCAGATTTCTGAAAGTTCTGACAGTGAAAACTGCTAGGAAAATGTGTTGCATTAATAGAGTAATTATTATTATCAATGACAATAATGAGATTCACTATTATGCAAGCATTACACATATGTTTACCCAAGGAGATGTATTTCTGTAGAAGACCCTTGTAAAATATAGACATGTACGTGTACATGTACATGCCCTCAAGGAATTTATAATCTAACAGTGGGGTTAAAACAATTATACATAACCAGAGGAAATAATTAGAACTGAAAACTAAAATGCATTATGTACTCATAAATAATTTTTAAAAGAAACAGACCTAAGTGTAGTAATGTATTATATTTTGAAAGGCAATTTTTAAAGAAATTGAATGGGCTGTGGCATAGAAAAGGAATGTCTTAACATTCCTCAAGTCCTCTGAGTTGTGAGAGAAAGAATGTAAAATGCCAGAGAGAGGGAAACATCAAGAAGGACAAAACATTGACCCACATATGAGCCTCACACACAGTGAAAACCACATCACAATTTTCATGTGTAGTTTTTAGGGTCGCCTTTGAAACCAGTAATTGATTCTTTTGCATTTCATGTTTCCACGACCCACTGTTAACAACCAAGCCCAAGTTACCTACTGACGAAGAATGTTTTCCCAAGGTGTCTTCTACGCATTAGTATCACTTCTAAGAACATGGAGTCTTCATCCACAATGTAGTATTCTCTCCCCAAGGAAATCCAAGCCCAGTTTAGAAGGAAAGGCTGATTTGTTAATTTATTTCTCCTCCTGTAATTGGTAGGAGTAAAAGAGAAGTCAGTGGGAGTATTTGATGGAAAAACAATTAATGATCAGGATATGCTTCGTGCTTTTGAAGCCAGGGACTTCAAAATGCATGCTCACCTTTTTCGTTTTTCCTTTTTGGCATAGAGCAAAAAGAATGTCATGAGGACAATCCTAAGTCCTAATAAACTAGGTTAATGTGGAGGAAGCCAGATGTCTTCTGCTCATAATAGGCCTTATGATCCACAGTTCCAAAGAACCAGAGCTAGTATTAAATGTATTAAATGCACAGTACAATTTTCTCCTAGACCTACCTATGTAATATTTTAAGTTTCTGACGAACAGCTCTGGAAAATTCAACTAATTAATTATATCACCCATCGAATTATTCTGCAAATGCTCATTGTACTGTTCACTATTCTACATGTTGAGGGTAGAGAAATAATAATGACAAAGTCTCTCCTTATGGATCTTATTTTCTAACAAGGGTAAATATTTTGGTGTTAATAAGTGATATAAAAAAATACTCAAGATAGATAAGGAACGATCAAGCAGCTCAGAAGGGACTATTTTATAGAGATTTTCTAAAGGGATGATATTTGCTTAGAGACTGGGGGAAAGAAATACCAGGCAAAGGGAAGAACAAACTCAAAATAAGTGTGTCCACATCTGAAAATGCATCAATATTCTGTTACAACAGGCTGCCTCTTTGGGCTGTAGCCCTTTCTGGTGTGTTTGAGTTCCTTGTGTGTCAATCAGCATTTACACAGGTTCGGTAGCTTTCTCAGGCCCAGGGTGTTATTATGGCCATGTAGTGGACTTGCTTCTATTTTCTGTCTGAACTCCTTTTCTATGTTTGGAGAAATTGAGGTTCAATGAGTCCCGCCTCCTTTAGGAAGAAGGAAGAGAACATCACTTTGCACTCTCCTCCCTTGCAGCTAGGCCGTACATGTCACCCAGGCCCTGCCCATAGCTCTAGGCTATGATGCAGAAGTGTGCTGTGCGAGGGTTTGGGTGCCACATGTTTTCTGGTTAGAGCTCTCCTTTGGGTGTTGGGCTCATTCTGTATTTTCTGAACACTAGCCAGCCTCCTCCTCCACTTCTCCATGCATGTGGGACTGATTATCTTTAGTGCACATGACTCTCTGAGATAGATTAGCATCTCATTATATCTGTAGCCAGGCTTCGGTCTGCTTGATCTGGCACCTTGCTGTAGTGCTGGGGTAAGAAAGAAGGGGTTCTCAGAGAAGAGGGTTTGCAGATTTTGAGATAACTCAAATGGTATCTATCTGTATTTCAAGAGACAGACACTGAGTGAATAATACCAATACACACCTTTTAAGGCAGAAACAGGAGGAAATAAGAACAGATCAATATTTTTTAATGTATAGATGAGGTACAGAGAATCATTTATTTGGTCATTTACACATCCTATAAATAATTACTCAAGTCAAACTCTTGATCAGGCATAGTAGTAAGGATTTTTCTAAGACTTGCACATCAAAGGCATTTCAGGTGTAGTTTATTCCAGGAGGAGCTGGACAGAGAAAGGGTGGTGTAGAAGGAAATGGAGTAATAATTGGCAGGGGAGAGGACAACTAGATTCAGTGAGACTGTCATGGAGGACTCAGAACTGTCAGCCAGAAGAGTTGTGTAGGTCTAGTGGGAAAAATGTACTCACAGCAGATGCGGAGAAGTCAGAGTGGAAGGTAATTTGGGAATTTGGTTGTAGGTTTTGCTTTGAAGTCACGGTAACGAGTCCAAGTGGAAAATTCTTCAGATACTTCGATGTATGTTACAAAGGTCCAGGGATCAGGCAAGGTAAGAAGATATAAGTTTGGGAGCAATTGTGATACTGAAAGTTTCAGATAGGTAATTTAAAAACAGAATGTTTGAAAGTTTAACAGTTGGGAAATATATATACATTAATTACATAGTCTTTGTATTTTGGCAAGCGCTGCCTTTCAAAATCCCAGGGAATTGCACAAGCAGATAGGACTACAGCTAGTATGTTCAGCCATATTCAGCTGAATAGCTGACATCAGGCATCCTAGGACCTTAAATGGCTGATTCAGCTACCTTTTTCTGCTCATTCTCAGACCTGGTCCTGGCCCTAGTTGATAGCCAGCCAGCCCTGGAATTTGAAACCCTAAGCCAGGAGCAAGATGGAGGAAAGGGCTTGGTCTCCATTAGACCCGCAGCCATCATTTGCTGGGTAAGGGCTGAGGATGAAAAGGAATGGAATAAGAGAAAGTGAGGGGGCTCGGCCAAGTAACCCCTGTCAGGGTGGAGACTCCTTGGGTAGGGTCAGTTACAGGCTCCCCGGCTTCATAAATCAGGAAATTCCGGGGAAGTATGGCAAGGGTTGTGACTGAGATCCTTCCTGGGAAGAGGAGTCACTGCTCAGGGAGTTACTGTGTCCTCAGAGTCTGCCACTGAACTTCCCCCAGACCTAGCAGCAGGCAGCTAGGTGGATGAAACATGAATGGTCATATCACATCTGAGAGGTGGTTTGATGTGTAATAAAGAAGAATGCAGATTCTGGATTGTAGGAAAGTCTAATTCGTTTAAGTGAAGGACTTTGTGTAGTGGACACAACATTCTTCAATGAGGGAGAATCTATAAACTAAGAAAATATAAAAAGAGCATTTTGGGGAGGCAGATACATTTGAGAGCAAGTGAAGGCAAAACTAATACAGAAGAGAAAATAAGAAGTATTTGAAGGGCTGGGGATTTAGCTCAGTGGTTCTGCTGCCTGCCTTGCAAGCATAAGGACCCAAGTTCAATCCTAGGTACAAAAGCAAAAAAAAGTATTTGAATTGGCTTGTGGAAGTCTAGTATAAAATGATCACCCTGTGCTTTATAGGATATTCGGTGGCCTCCATGGCCTCTACCTAGTAGATAACATCACCCCCTCCTTGCTTTCTCCATACTCCCAAATGTGACAATCAAAAATATCTCCAGACACTGCCAAATGTCCCCTAGGAAGAAAAGTTCACCACTGGTTGAAAACTGGCAGAGTAGGTAAAATGAAAGCATTTGCCTCATCTCTAACAAAAGTGTTCTTACATCTCAACTTCTGAGTTTTGGAAGAATGATGTAACATTTGGATAGGAATTTGGCATGGATAATCAGATGTTTCATGATAAAATGAAGAGATACCCTGATCATGGCCCAAATTAATCTGAGGAAAATGAAAAGGTATATCAAGTACACTGCAACTAATCTCCTTTGAGAAAATCAGAACTTTCCTTTGGAGTTCACTGTAAGTGCTCACATATGAGATCTGGTTATCTGTGATTTTATGAATTATACTGCTGCATTATTGGACCTAGAATGCTATTATTATACGGTGATCAGAAGCATTCATGTATAGAAGGAAATGTGACTGGGCAATTGTACGGAGGTTACCTGGGCTTTTGACCTTTGTGTCTTTCCTTCGCTCTTTTCCTCTCCTGTAGTTCAGTGTAAAAGGCAGGACTGCAGTCAGCCCACAGGAGGCTGCTTCTCCTTTCTTAAAACAGAATTCTTCAATGAAATAGAAGCAATGTAAAAAAGTAAAGACCACAGGTTTTGTTAGATCCCTTTTGCATGCTGTGGCAGGCGTGCCACATGCCGTTTTGACAAATTTCTTGCTGAAAGACTTTCTTTTCTTTCATCGTTCCCCTTTCCACATCTATGGTTCATCTGCTTTGTTTTTCCTTCCGTATGCACGCTCGTTCACTCCTTCCTTCCTTCCTTTCTCTTTTCTCGTCCTTTGTTTCTAAAACACACATTAGTATTTGTTGTGTGCTCTAATTTTAAGATTTAACATATAAAGAGTATTTATTTAGTAACCAGCATCCACAAAGAGGCTTCTCAATATATTTTTGTCTTTGCCACAGCTCTGGAATCAAACCTGGTTGATGCCTGGAAATCTGCTGAGTAAATGTGCTTAAAAAGATAATTCCAGTAGCAATGTTATTTGGAAATTTTAGGAAAAGGGGCGCTGCATGAAAGTCCACATAAAAAAGCAGGGTTTGAAGAGGAAAACCATAACAGCCAGATTTTATAAGCAATGGCATTCACTGAGCATTGCTTCTTTCGTGGATGAAGATGCAAAAACTGTGTGATCTCAGAGGGACAAGTGTCCCTAGAAGAAGAGGACCGTCTCATAAGTGAAGGTGTGAGCAGCTGCTAGGAGCCCAGCAGTGCTCACAGTAAGTCTGCAGCCTCCACAGGAGAGAAGCCAGTGCTCTGGGAGGTGGTGAGATAATCAGGGAGAAGCAGAGAGGGTGTGTTAGGGCAGAGCGAGTGAGCCTATCCGTTGTTCTAGAACCGTTTCTTTGCCTTTACAAATTCCTCCCTGATACTGAAACCTGAAAAAGGAGGCAGTGATTAACCCTGATTGTCTTTTCATTCATATCCCCCTCCTTCCTTCAAAACCAGTGGAAGTTTTGACAGAGCAGTTCCTGTGATAGGTGTTCGCCAACCCGACCAGGCTGTGGTTCGCGATGTGTGGTGAAACACCAGAACAGGCATTTCTGTGAAAATCTCTGTAGATGTGATTAGCCTCGGACGACCAGTGGGCTCTGAGTAAAGCAGATGGTCCTCTGTAAGTCAGCTATGCTTATCCTGTTAGTTGAAGGTCTTGAGAGCAGAGATTGGAATTTGCCTGAGTAGAAGGGATTCTGCCCCGGGATGGCATATAGAAAGTCTGCTGGACTCTCCCACCTGCTGACTGGCCTGCCCATTTTAGACTCAAGACTGTAACTGTGACTCTTAACTGAATTTTCAGTCTACCCTGCAGATAGTGATAGTCTACTTTGTACAACACTGTGAGCCAGCTAACACCTATTCTCCCCAGCCTCTCTATCATCTATTTACATATTGGTTGTTTCTGTTTTTCTGAAGAACTCCTACTAATACAGTCACCTTATTATTTCCTTCTGCCCTTTTATCCTCTAACATACGAAACTTCATGGGCCAGGGGTTTAGCTCAGTAGTTTGGTGGCCTGCCTTGCAAGTGCAAGGACCCAAGTTCAATCCCCGGTAAAAAAAAAAAAAAAAAGAAAAAAGAAACTTCTCTGGATATAAGTACCTCATAATATTTCACTTCTTAGTTACAGTTAATCATTATTTACATGTTCGCACCCTGTCTTCCTGTCTTATTTGCTGGTCTTAATGTTTTAATCCAGTAAGAAACAATGTTGTAGCTTTTGCAGCAGAAATTCTCCATGGAGGGAGATTTTCTTTTTTCTCAGTGAAACTGATGAACAATTTTGATCTTATCTAATTTGCTCAAAGATCTTTCATCAAAATTTAAACCCAATTCTTCACAAAAGGCATGATGTACAGAAGGGGAAAATGTTTTCTATGTTTATTAAATTGATCCAACATTTAGAATCACTGGAAAATACTAGGAAGAATTAGAAATACAAAACAAAGCTAAGGACTGGTTTTGTATAATATACCTAATATCCATTCAGTATCCTCTAAAGAAAACTTGAGTTTTAAAAATGATGCACTTGGAAACATTAATTAAAATGTTAGGATGTGACAATGTATTTTCTGGAGCTAAGGATTCATTTTTAGAACTTCAGTTCTGTGGTTTACAAATCTTAGTTTTATGAAATAGAGCTAATTTCATATTTTTATATAGATAGCAAAACAAAGAGAACATAATTAAGCCAGAAAATGTATAAGACCTCACATCTGTCAACTTTCACTGTAAAGTCTTAAATGGATTCTATTGGTCATGGATTGCCTGTTATGGTTTCTATCCAGCTTTACCCCCCAAAGTTTCATGCACTCACAAATGGGGCTTTTGGGAGGTGGCTGGATCATGGGTGTGTGATGCTGGGTGTAAGATTCTGGATTAGTCCACTAATTGGTTTAGTATAGTTCTGGGTGTGGCTGAATGGACTTATTGAAGACAGAAGTCCCATCCTGGGTATGGGTGGCAACAATCAATAAGCTTGTAGTCTGGAAGGACTATAAAGGGAAAGGGAGACTCACTGCAGTTCCTCTTCTGCCTACCTTGCCAGGGACTGTTCCTCCTCTGCCAGTCTCCTCTGACATGCTGCCCTGCTTTGGAGCCAGCCAGTTATGGACTGAAACCTCTACACCTTTACCCCTTAACTTTGGGTATCAGATATTTTGTTTCAGCGATGAGAAAAGTAACTAGGACACTGCCTCATCGGTGTGGAAACTGTAGGATGTTGAATCAGAGCTCTTTTGACACCTCATGGTAACCAAGATTTGTCACATTCGTATTCCACATTCGTTCTTCCATCCTTTGGCTCATTTTCCTCATGAGACAACCTTCTCAGCTCTTCACCTTTCTGTCTGAGCTTCTCTTGACAAGGTTACACTAGCTGCATAAATTCTTACTTTTCCCTGGTAAAAATTAAATATGCTAATGCTGGCTCAGGAAACGAGAAATATTAACTTGAGAATATTAACAAGACCTTCACTTCACCAGATTTAAATTTCCTATTATCTCCAGGCATTATTAATACCTATCAACAATACTTTTTCTGACACATAGGTCTTTATGGATCAATTTAAGACCCTCATCTCCTTTCATAATATTTCTTCCTTAGCTTGGAGTACTGGACTTAGAAAGCTAGGGTCGAATCTTTCTCTCACCTTGTCTGTCATTGAAAGTAAAACTACCTGAGCATTAAAGTCCTGACAAATGGGTCACCACACACTTGGCACGGTGGCGCCAGATGTGAGAATTTCTCCAGGTAACTTGCTATGAATCAAGTTTCTGTTTGTACACTGATTAACATCTTCTGTTGTCTCCGAATGAATGTTTCTGGATCAAGGGAGGAAGCTTTGCAGAAAATGTGTTAAAACAATTGACTGTTCATATTGAGCAAACCAACCCATGACATCTACTCTCAAGGTTTGTGCTTGGCAAAACAGGAAGCTAGAGGGTGAGCTTTCCATAAACACTGGCTATGTGGTCTCTACCCTTGTTGCTAACCATTACTTTTGTCATATCAGCTGTTTTAAATCATAAATACTATTGCATAGTCACCATTTACTTCACGCATTTGATGATTCTACAACTAAGAGTCCGAATTGACTCTTAGAAAGATATGTGAAATTAGCTTCCAATTGAAGATAGTAGTGTATTCCTAAAAATCAGATAATTTGTCTATCCTATAAAAGTTCCTTTGCCAGGATGAATGAACAGCAGGAGGAGGGACTGTGGAAGTCCTTTCACATTCAGCAGCTTGTGCCTAGGACTAGCTGAATTGAATGCTGTATTTTCCTACAGTTGGTTTAACCAGGCATAGCTGATAAACTGCAATGAATGAACCATCAGCTGGAGATTGTCCATCACCGCTGTAAGTTAGATCCGCACCAGATCCAGTTGCAGAGAATTCTGTGGGACTTTTGGTTCATAGGGACTTTTGGTTTCCTATGAATTCAATGGGGACTTAGTGGAAAGACATCACAGAACAATATAATGTTCAGACATTCAAAGACTTGAGACAGATGGCTCCAATAAAATGGAGGAAGAGAGGGAGATAAAGAAGAAAGCAATAGCTTTCATACAAAAGAATCAGTTATGTACTCAATGGAATTGTGTGCTGTAATGCAATATTATTTTTCTTTTCACTTCAGTGGATCTGTTCCTGGAGCAACACTTTGTAATCTCTGAAGAACTAACAGTTCAAAAGATTTTTCTGTGTTTTGTATTTCTGAACAGGCCCCCAGTCATGTGTAGCATCTCATCATTTTGTGCTAGTTGCACCCTGTTTATTTGTTTTTTCTGTTGTGTCCCAAAGACAAAAACTTTAAAGTAATTATTCATTCAGAGGGGCTTTTCCTGCCTTAAAATAAAAGAACAATACATAAAAGTTCTTAAAAGCCAGAATAAACCATAGAAAAAGAGCTGGCAAATGAAATGGAATACAGGAATAGATCCCATTCAGGCTTTCTGAGTCTTATGTGTTGGGAAGGTTGAGGTAAAGATTATACATGCTTTGTCATGTGACCCTTTTTAAGTACTGAACACTGAACTCAAGGCCTTTACACTGAGCCATATCTTCAGTCCTTTTTTATTTTTTATTTCAAGGCAAGGTCTTGCTAAATCACTAAGTTGTGCATGCTGGGCTTAAACTTCTGATCCTCCTGCCTCAACCTTCCAGAGGGCTGGGATTACAGGTATGTGTCACCATGCCCAACTATCAACTACCTGCTCCCAATAGTGGCACGGGAATCTTAGAGGAAAAAAAAGCTATTTGAGTGATTCTAGAGTCTAGCAAACAAAAGACTTTATTGTTTGTCTTTGGCAGAATAGGGCAAAAGTTCAGAAATAATTATTACAGAATCATTTCTCTATTCATTTTCTGTTGCCATATTAAAATTTCTACAACCAGGGCCAGGGATTTAGCTCAGTGGTGTTACCACCAGCCTCACAAGCACAAGGTCCCAAGTTTGATCCCTAGCACCAAAAATAAATAAAATAAAATAAAATAAAAAATAAGATAAATAAAAATTTCCAAACCATAGAAGCTGAAAAAGCACAAATTTGTTATCTCCCAGCTTTAATGGATTCCGATCAAGGCGTGGCTTAGCTGGAACCTTGGCTCGTGGTATCAAAAGACAAAATGAAGCTCTGATTTGGACTGCATTCATATATCTGAAGACTGAACTAAGGGAAAATCTGCTTAAAATTTATTGACATTTTGGCAGATTTGGTTTTCTGTGACTGTGTAACTAAGAGCCCTAATAGCCTTGCTATGGGTTTCCCTTTGCTTCTGGAGCTTTCCATCATTCTCCTGCCGTGTGGATCTTTCCATGGGTAGATGGATGGTTCACAACGTGGGCCATGTGTTAGTCAAAGCCAGAGAAGAACTGTTGTAGTGCACACTAGCAAGATAGCAAGATGAAGATCACTCCGCATCCCACCTCTCTGATACATGCATGCATTTATTGTCTTAATCACTTTTTCATTTTTCTGACACAATACTGGTCATCCACAGTTTAAAGGAAGAGTTTATTTTGGCTCACAGTTTCAGTCCATAGTCAGCTAGCTGCAAGGCAGGACAGCATGGCAAAGGGTATAATGCAAAGAATGCTGCTCACCACACAGTGTCCAGGAAGCAGACAGTAAAGGGAGAAATATGGGGAGGGAGATATACCCTTTCATGACAAGCTGCAGAGACCTGCCTGCAAACCTGCCTGCAGACCAGGGCTCCCCTCCCAACCAATTGTAGCATTTTTGTAATTCAGTCACCTTCCACAAGCTCTGGGGGATCATGGACTGAAATCTCTGAAAGCATGATCCACATAAATCTTTCCTTCTTTTAAGCTGATTATCTCAAGTAGTTTGCAACAGTAACAGAAGGTTAACACACCAATCTTGTAGTTATGTTTGCTTTCCATTAAATGCAGCACACACACACATAAACCCCCCCACACACAAACACACACAGTACTTTTTTTCCCTAACAAATGAGTTCAAAAGAGAGAAAAATTGGAGCAGGAGGAACATCAATTGAAAGTGTGAAAGATGAAATTATGTAAAAACATATCATCTTTTCATGCCTAGTTAATCACAGGAAATATACCTGCCATCGTGAAGCCATTTTATGAGAAAACAGCCCAGTTTCTCATAACAGTTAGGACACAGCATTAACAAGACCAACCAACACAGTTCTACATTAGAACGTGAGAGACAAAAAGCACTGTGTCTGTGTAAAAATGTATTTGGTGGTTAATAAAATTACAATGTTTTGTACCTAAAGAGAGTCCTTTTGTTAAAATGAAGGATGGTTTCTAAGTGGTTTTTAATCACTTTACAATTTAATTTTTTGGATAAAAGAGAAAGAGTCACACTGACAGAGTTACAATTTGAAGGTAGTCCTAGATCTTTCATTTCGAGCAAGGGTTGTGAGAACAGTTGTCAGAGAAACTATGAATTTGCTGAAATTATTATTTTTTCAAAGTTATTTAAATATAAGTTTTTTTCTTTTATTGCAACACCTTTTATCTGCTGGTTTTGTAAGACTCTATCCAGAAAGTAGCACTTAGAATATTTTGAACTCATATCAAGACCATACGAGGAAAAATTCTATCAGTGTCTCTCGAACTACCCCAACACATCCCTCAGGGCATTTAAGAGTGAAACTGTCTTCAGGAGGTACAAAGACCATGGCCTGGAGCGTGGCTAGAGGTTATGAGCTTTGAAGTCTCAGAGACATATTAAAAATTCCCTATGAATCTCATATTCTCTTTCATAACATAAGCACCTGTACTGATATAAAAGTAAAATCTGCTCAGGAAATGTGTCATATTTTCTGAGTTTTACACAATACCTAGCTCATGGATCCAGACCTTGTATTAAATGAGAAGTTTTACTTAGAATAAGTATTAAAGAAGTGATGAAGTCTTATAAAGGAACAGATCACAACATTTGATTACTGAACTCTTATAGTGCATTGCACCCAAAATTTTTACCTTGTAATAATTATAAACTTGAAATAAGCGATTCATGCATACTTAGAAAATGCCAAGACTAAATGCGTTTTCAAAAGAAATTTAATTGCATTCCTATCAATTGCCACTGAGTCTTACTCTTTCCATGGAAATAAAGGGGTTTTCAAGATAGCAATGAGAGTAAATATTAAGAAATCCTCTGCCTTGCAGGCACAAGGTCCAGAGTTCTATCCCTGGTACCAAAAAAAAAAGAAGAAGTCCTGAGCTCTCAAAACTTCAGGGAAGGTTCTAACTCCTAGGTGTATATGCAGGAGAAATATAGATTTCTTTTCTGAGAAGATGAAATAATTTAAAATACAGTGAACGTGTACTGATAAAAATCTGGAAAGAAATTTTCTTCATTTTAATATGAGGTGTCATGTTCATTGATTTGTGTATCCTGTATTCACAGATTGAAAGAAAAATATTGTTCAAATGTTCATGCTACTTAATGTGATCTATGACTCTGTGTAATTTCTATCAAAATTCTGATGTATCTCTTTATAAAAATGTATAAAACAATCCTAAAATGGATATGGTATTACAATAGACCTTGACTAGTGTCTTAGTTACTTTCTCATTGCTGAGACATAATATCCAACAACCACAATTTACAAGAGAAGAAGTTTATTTGGCTCAGAGTTTGTAGGTGTTTATGGCTCAGAGTTCATAGTTAGCCTCATCAGGAGACTGTAACTGTCAGTGAGCACCTACTCCGTGTCATTAACAATATTATCTCACATAATCCACTTAGGGACTCCTTTGAATCAGGTATGAGGATGAGTTTTTCATAAATGGAGCAATGAGTAACAAAGGGGACGAAGTAACTTCTTCAAGGTTACATGAGTATATTTTAAGGGATTTTTTTTTCAGTTTTGTATTGATTTTAACTCACCACGAGTCTTTTTTAGGATTTTACTCTTGACTTACCACTGTCTTCCACAGAGAAATAGAAGACATCCCTTGTTGCATTGCTGCCCTGCTTCAAGACATAGCAGATCTGCATTTCATCAATGTCAGCTGCAAAAAAAAAAAAAAATAAAAAAAAAAAAAAAGAGCAAACATCACACAAAAAGTCTGCAAAAAATAAGGATATTAACCACTTTTGGGCTTTAATCATGCATGGAAATACCGCAATAAATAAAATTTAACATAATGATGAAATGAGCGTGAATCTATCTGCTTCCTAAAGTTGCAATGGCAAAAATAAAACTTCACGGAGAACTTTTGATTGTGCTACTAGGTTCACGTTCTCTAAGACAATGTATGACAAAGGGAGCATTATGGCTGTGCATGCTTTACAGGATCCTGGTTCTCTACGGACAGCTTTGTGTTAAGCTTGTGTTAAGCACTCTCTTGTGTTAAGCTTTCCGTACAAGCATAGAATTTGCCATAATGAGAGATGCCTATTAACATCTCGTCAAAATGAATTAAAATGAGTTACTGCTACATCTTGAGGAAAAAGAAAGTGAAAATAAAACCATGAATTTTAAAAAAATCTATTGCTTATTCTCAATGCTTTGTGGATTTATTCCTTAGATGTGTAATTATATTTTATTGATAATTATTAGAATTTCAAAGACAATTTGTTTGGGGGAAATTAATGAGAACAATTCTCCTAGTACCATAAATAATTTTATTTGCTTTAGAAGCAATTCTGAAAATGTAAACTGCCATTTTTTAAACACCCCCTGCAGGTATTACACTGAGATTACATCTATCTTACCTGTATTATATGTGAGAATTTTTCTGCATCTCTTTATGTATCATGCACAGAGCAATTTAAAGAAGTTGTAAGACAACATAAGGAGCAGCCAGAATATATCAGGCCACATAACTTGGGAAAGCAGAGGGACCTGCCTTTAGTTCATTGTTAGTAGTAACACAAGTATAACATATAACAGGAAATTATCTTTAAAATATAGTCTTTCACACACAGGCAAACTTAGTTCTATGCTTCTTTTTAGACATGGAAATTACATTTGAGGAGTACAGCTAAAAATGTGTGGTATAATCATTTATAGCCAGACTCTAGATAACAAGCATCTTTAAATATCTAAACACTAACAAAATATACAAAGAATTTCTAGAGGTCATTTGTAAAATTCAAAATCAAATTGATATTATAGAAATTAATGCAATCATCCAGTATTTCAGAGGTTGAGGCTTCCCTCCTGTTGTTTTGCAGATTTAAGGTAAAATCACAAGCTTTATTAAGTATCTATGGGTTCTTGTTAGATGAGCATGGTGATGATGAAACAGCTGAAAAAAGATTTGTTGTTGCCTTTTTTGTTGTTGTTTTTATTCTACCATAGTTTATAAGAAGCAGATCTTACTGCAAACGGGCTGGGGTGAGGATAGTTTTACAGAGCTGAGAGCTCTCCACTGAAGGAAGGAGGTACGGGCATCAGGGAAGAATGAGACTGACCTTGTGTAAACACATGAGTGCGCTCCTCTTCGAGGCCAGTGTTGACAATGAAGCCCTGCTCTGGTCCCTTGGTCACTTTGTACTTCAGGAGCCTGGGAGGACTGTCTTCATCTTCTGCCTTCAGAGACTTACTGGTGATGAGGAAGCCCACGAGTCCATTGTGAAGGTGCTGCAGGGTTGGGGCACCCCTGTTAATGGCAATGTGGGGAACCTTGTTGTCAGCAGAGGTTATCTGGATCCTCATTACCTGAGGTGTGTGTGTCTCCAGGGCAGTGTCCAGGAAGACATAGAAATTATTGTCCATGTCACCTGTCACTGTCAAGGAGAAACTGTCTTCAGTGCTCCCACTGCCATCATGCCAGTAGCTAATCAGGTGTTCATCCAGGTCTTTCTTGGTGAAAGTTGTCACAGAATGGCTATTATTATATGAAATCCTACCATGGACAGGGACCTCAGTGATTGTAAAGAGAATAAAATCATCTGGCATATCCTTGTCTTTCACTGTCAACTCAAAAGGACAGTTTGCTGTCCCCTCTCTGCAGTGTTAGTTTATGGAGGGTCAAGATAGGTTTCCTGTTGTCTACATCCCTTATGAAGATCCTGAAGGTCCTAAAAACAGAGCCATGACCACCAGACACTCTGAGCTCAAACTTATCCCTCCTTATCTCATCCTTTGAAATATGTACATAGTATATTTTCTTGCTAGCCAATTGATGCTCAGTGAAAGAGGCAATAGACTCCCCAGGCTGGTCGGAACATTCCAAGTGGCCCAGGTCAGGAGCCTGGGTAATGCTGAGGTGAAGTTGTTCACTAGGGCTGTGGATGTCACTTGTGTTAAGCCGTTCATTGGTGAGTCACTTTGTCCCCTTCCATCAAGGTGATCCTTTTGCTGACTACTCCAAGAAAGACCCTGTTTAAGCTGCCAATAGCGATATAGAAATATTGCTCTGTCATAGGATTGACCCCATCAGTTACATCAAACTTGATATGATCGACAACTCCTTCTTGGCCTGTAAGGGTATAACAGATGAGGCCTCTGTCAATTTCATCCTGGGTAAAATTCATTCCCGAAGTGAGACTGTTCCTCACTTCTCCACCAGGTTTTCTCAGTCGCTGTAGAAGCCCTTATTGAGGCCCAGAATAGACCACAAAACTGAGGCTCTTATCATCTGAGTCAAGATCTGTAGCCTTGAGAACCCAATTTGTGATAACTTTAGAGTGTCCAGTTGCTATTTCTAGCCCAGTGTTGATGGTCAGCTGAGGGGTTTGATCATTCACTGGGATCACCACCATCTGTACCTTTGAGTGGGCCGTGTGCTTGTTGTCGCTCAGCCAGACCTCAAAACTGTCCTCAGTGGTCTGAGTCATCATGCTCATACACAATGGTGGATGCCTCCTGGATCTCCTGTAAGGTAAAACTGTGGACAGGCTGGTCACCTGTGGTCAGCTGCTGTATGATTTGTCCATGGCGAGGGAGGGCTGTGAGCTGAAAGTGAACTTGGTTTGGTGGCAGGTCAGCATCTGCTCCATTGAGCAGTGGGGTATCTATGACCAGGCTCATCCCTTCTAATACCAGAAACTCATGGACAAAAAGCTCAGGCTTCTCATCATTGGTAGGTAAGATGATGATAGGGAGGAAGACATTTGGGGAGAAATTGATGCCATCAGAGCAATGGAATGTGAATGGATCTGCTTGTGGTTCTACCTGCTTGTGGATACTCTGTACGTAATTGATATGTCCCTCTCAGATATCCTTGATGTAGAAGGAACTGATGGCTTTATCAGCCTGAGATACTTCTCAACCAGGAGCTGGTGCAATGTTCTCCAGGTAGCCAGAGGCTGGCTGCCCAGTCACTGTGCATAGGATTTCATCATTAGGAGTGTCTGCATCGATGCTGTAAGGTCAAGGGGCTCTTTTCACCTTGGTAGACAGCGAAGGACTCTCCCATTAAGACCTTGCGAGTGGCATTGTCCACCAGCAGCATAGTCATTTGCACCTGAACCTTCTTCGTTTCACTGTCTGCTGTTACCCAGTGAATAAGAATCCTCAGACAGGATGAGGCTGAGAGCATCACGCTGCTTGTGGAAACCAACTTCACCTCCAGTGTAGACATGGGTTACTGCCCCACTGTTGAGATCTTCTTGGGTGAATCTTTCTTTGGGCAAATCATTCACCAGAATAGTGCCAAGTTTGGGGCTCTTTTCCACAATGTAAGACAGCATCAAACCATTTATGTCCTTTCTGCCATAAGTAGCACCTATGGTGAATTCAGTGGCTCTATTCTCTAGTATATCTATGGAAATGTCCAGTGATGGACTATCTGTGGTAGAGATCTTGGGACTTTTGTCAGCCATAGTGGGATGCACAGAAATCTTCACAGTGATGGGTATATGGTGCATCCTGTCACTTACCTCCAGGTGGAAGATTTCACTGGTAGCCCAGTCTTTGTTGTGCTGGTAAGAGAGACTCCCATTAATAATATCCGGTCATGTGAAAGATTCCCCTGGAATCATACACTTTTTAAAGTATTGCAAGTAACCATGTTGGGGACCCCAGATTAATATGAAGACAATTTGGTCAGTGTCTGTGTCAGGGTCTATAACATCTAGCTCATTAGTACTGAGGATAAAGTTGTCTCCCTCTGAGATGGTGAAGCCGTTGTTGATGACTTTTGGAGGCTGGTTATCCACAGGCTGCAGGAATACTGTGAACTTGCCTACTGCACTATTGCCTATAGCATCTTGCACCTGGTAGGTGAACTATACAACCCAAGGTATAATACCCAGCTTCTTGTGTGGGGGCTGGTAAGCAATCTTGTGGTGATTTACCTGGGCCTGGGTGAAGTGCATGATGGGTAGGTCTGGTGAATCAGTGAGCACAATTTCTCCAGCCTGGACTTGGTGGTTGCTATGTGTGTCCATCGGGGGTGTCAGTAAGGTGTACCACAGGTTCTGGTCATCTGAGTCCTGGTCAACATATTGGAGGAATTTCTTCTGGAAGTGAGTGAGCTGGTACTCATGCACAGTCATTTGTAGAGTAGTTCCATGATCCAGCTCTGGACTCAGCATATCCGCTGGCTGGACCTGGATGGTGAAGTAGTGCTGGTTGGATAGATTGGGTGCATCATGGTCATCCTCCACATGGAAGGACAGGTGGGCCACCACAAACTGAGGGCTGTGTGGGCCAAGATGGAGGTAGAAGAGTCTTCCTTCCATGATGTCTCTCTGCAGCCACTCAGTCACCACCATCTCATAGAGTACTTCTTTTCCACATAATGCCAGTCACTATTTAGAGGGGACAGGGGTGGTTCAGCCTGCCTCAGCAGAATGTCTCCCAGGTGCTGGCCTGAGTGGCAGGAACCAGAGGCCAGATGCCACTCTCCCTCATTTCCGTCTAGGAATTGATCCTCTAGCACAAAGTGGATGGCTGAGTAGTCAGAATTGTTATCTGTAGCACTCAGGACAAAGGGGGAGATCTGGGCCACCTGCCCTTGGGTCAGTGAAAGCCCTGTGTTGACAATGACTACGGGGGGTTCATCATCCACAGGTTCAGTGGTGACGGGGAGGAGGTAATCTACATAGTGGTGCCCATCCTCCATCTGAAAGACGATGTTGTCATTGTTGGTGTCACTGCCATCATGCTAGTACACCACTCGCCCTGCTGCCAGGTCTGCAGCAGTGAAATACTGGCAACCAGTAGGTGCCCCAAGAACCACCAGCTGCCCATGTCTCAAGCCCCCGACTGCAACCATTTTCACCTCCTCCAGACTATCTTTGTCACTGATTGGAAGGTTATGGGCACTGGACAGAGCCTTGGATTGACCTTCAAAAAGCAGTAGTCCTATGTAAGAGCTAGCCACCAGAGCCAGAGTATTCTAGGGCTTCACTACTACCTTGAAGGAGAAAGGATCTGAGGTGGCGCCGTCCATCACCTCCAGCTCCAGCTGGAAGACGAGTTCTCCCAGGGAACTCTCCGCGGGAGGCCGATAAGCAATTCTGAGCTCCCGAAGCTCTCTTTGCGTGAAGAAGGAGACTGGAGGGCCCAGGGGATCATCAGTGCTGATCACATAGCCCTGCTGACTCTGGTGTCCTGGTGGGGCTGCGGGTCCATTAAGAATGCTGAACACCAGCTCCTCAGGGCCCGACTCATTGCAGCCAGTGCGTCAGGGGTCAAGGCAGTTAGCAAAAACTGATCGACCTCCAGCATCCTCAACGCCTCGAGGCTGGGCCTGGGCACCGTGTTGGGGGCTCCTTTCCCGATCCTTATGAGCAGCTGGAAGTACTCCAGGGCCAGCACCTTCACTGACACCCCGGTGGCAGGAGCAGCTCCACCAACATGGGCACATAGTCCCTACTGGACGAGGAGGTGGCTGCGGTGTGTTGGTATCGCACGCCAGCCCAGATAAAAGCCTCACAGGCCACCGGCTTGGCCCTGGGGACAGGGGTCCCCAAGGCGTCCACCAGGTGCCAGAACTTGGGCAGGGGGGCGCCCTCGAGAGGAAGTGGGGTGAGCCGGCACGTGCGGGTGGCCATGAGCCCAGTCTCTGGGGCAGGAAAACCCAACACGCTCCTGTCGACTGCCTGGCTCCAACCCCGCACCTTAGCACAAACGCCTGCGGCGCGTCACCAGCTCCAGCGGGGACAAGACTGCCTTCACCACCAGGGCGAAGGGCAGCACCCGCGTGTAGGCCGGGGCTTCCTATCGCAGCTGGAGCCGCACCCTGGAGCGCCTGGGGCTTCGCGAGCCGAAGTGGGTGTAGCGGACCTGGTGCGCCCCGAAAGTGCAGGGCAGGCGGCAAGGGGAGAGCGCGGCCTGGTGCAGGGGCTGGACGTCCAGCACAGTCACCTCACGCCGGTCTCCGGGCTGCACGCGAATCACCAGGTCCCGGAGCGGGTCTAGCCAAAGCGAGCGGCCCGGGGTCACCCGGAGCCCGGGGTTGGCGATCAGGACGCCAGGACCCGCGGGACCGCTGTCGTCAAGTGCTCCGCAGGGGGGCAGGTGGAGCGACTGGTGGGGGTCGCTCCCATGGAAGAGTACCTCTCCCCGCAGTGCGCGACAACTCAGGAGCAGTCAGGCTAGCGCCAGGAGCTGCGGGCAGGCGGGATGCGGAGAATCCCCGGCCATGGCCAGATGCGAGGAGGGTCCCTGTGCCGAGAGGAGCCGCTTGATATCAGGCGGTGGAGGCGGTGACTGCTGTCCAGTCGGGAGCTGCGGCGTGGATTCCGCAAGATCCAGCGCCGCCCTTGAGTTATGCCAGGTGCAGCAGCGGGGAAAGGGCTCCGCCACCTCCCGCCATGCCGGCCTCCCTCTGCGCCCGCGTTCGAGCCTCTCCCCCGCCGGGTCAGATCTGCGCCTGGCCTCTGAGCCACCGCTCGCGTGGTCCATGCATTCAGGGAATGACCTCTCTGCCAGAGCGGACAGAAATCGTTCCTGTTCTTCACCCCTAGCGGGAGTGCATTTTATTGCAAAATTGAATGTCAGTGAGGACATTGAAAAAAGCTGGCAGGAGCTAGTTTGCAAGTAGGATTTTCCAGTAGTTTGACAGACAGCTTATTCCAAGTCTTTTAATTCGGTGCTTCCAAAGCAAGCCTCGCGTTTTTCTTCTGCTTAGCTACTGGGAGAAGCAGCAACCATGTTGGCAAAGTTGAATCGCTTATAATCTGTTTCTAGTCCGCCGGTCTCGTGTAAAGCCATGGAGCGTGCAGGTCAGCTTCCTTCTATTTTCTCAGAGTGCGGTTTCCAGATCTGAGAGACTGTGTGAGTTTATTAGACTTGACTCCTGATTACTTTCTTTGTAGAAAAAAAAAAAAAAACCGTAGCCAAACGGGAGAATGTCAAGGGAAACCGAAGAGAATCCCTCCACCCCCGGCACCCGCAGTTGCTGGATCGCCTCTGTAAAACAATCCACTTAACACCTGGAATCAGGCTTTCAGGTGCTGATGACTCCCACGGTGGGTGCGGTGTTGGGGACAACCTCATCTCAATTTTACAAATGTTAGCAAAGTCAATTTAGTCACTGCGCAATCTTTTCCTAAATAAAATAGTTGATGTACTTCCTTATACGATTACTGTGGACGTGCCTTTTTGTTGACAATAAAAACAAATGAATACAAAATTGCATTGATACAGATGGCATCAAGGGAAATACAAATCTGTAGACTGCTTCCTCCGAATTAGTTTTTATAGAAGTTCTTTTACTGTGTTGCGGTACCTATTTGATTGACCATATCAGCTGCATTAGTAGCAGCCAGTGCTCAGAGCAAGAATGTGAATGGTGTAGTTTGAAAGAGTTAATCTATTTAAACTTGAAATTTAGTCACCTAATGAGATGCTGCTGTGTTCTGTGCAATCCTGTAAAAGAGAATGCTAGTGTAAATCACGAGAGCACAGATTTGTTCATTTAACAGATTTAAGGTGCATACATTTGAAATAATGTATGTTTAGCTTAATGAGGCAGTGTCTCCAGAAATATTATTTTAAAGTGTACTTTTAACTGAAACACAGGTAAAATGTCATCATAAGTGAGAGGTATTTCATAAAGCTACTGCTTTTCTCAAAGGATGAGTTTTTCTAAGAGAATTTTCTTAGTCTGTACATATTAAATGTTAGCCGGTGACTACTCTGGTGTGAGTGTAGGTTTGGTTCCTATTCAAACACCACTCACCCTGTGCCCACTGTCTTGTTCATGTGTTATTTCCACTGGGGAAAAGACAGAGGTGGGCAACCGATGAGACAGAAAGCTAAATCACTATATTTATGTTTGTCTTCTGAGCTCCCTCTCCAGTGAACTTTCCCTCTGAACTTCCTCACCATCTACTGTCTCACAGGGTCCCCTTTCCTTCCTATTTCCATTTCTTCACCTCTTAACCCTTGCCCACTGAGAGTACCTCAGTTTGGATTCCTCCTAAGTCATACCAATGCACCTGCTCCGGTCACTAGTGTCCTCCAGTGGCAAAATCCCATGATGCTCTCTCCAATGGGCAATGTTGCCCTATCCTTCTGGTTTTCCTCTTACCCCCCATTGTACGTCCCACTTCTTTAGGAAGCCCTTTCCGTATGGTCTCCATGCCATGTTACTACTTTTCTGTCTGCAACGACATAACCATTCATGCACCAGTTGATAATTGTCTTTTCCCTCTAGCCTTGAAGCTCCATGAGAACAGGGAGTGTGTGCTACTCATTGTTGAGACCCGGCATTAAGGACTAACACACAGACAAAATGTAATAAGTATTTGCTGATTGGTTGATTGATTGAATGCCTGAATAGAAGAGTGAAAGAGCAACAGAAGTAGTAACTGAAATATCATAAGGGCTAGGTGTTGAGCAGAAGGGATGAGTACAGGTGAAGGATAACTTCCTCCCTTGCCCAAAATATGCCAATTCATTAGGGGCTGGTGACATTTTTGTTTAGAGAATGCACATTCAGATTCTAGCCAGACATTTATATTATCAATCGTTTTCTCTTCACAGGGCAATTTCATTTACCCATATTGTACTTTGCTATGGTATCACTTCAAATTTATCCTTTAAACCTGATGTGCATTTCAAGACTAACGCTAAGCAGGAAGTAAAGGGGCTATAAACTGTACACTATGCTCATGATTTTTTCATATGCTCTACATTATGTGATTCCTAAAAAAATACCCACAAGGTGGTTATGTGTCTTTTCTCTAATTTATATGTAATAATAGATCTTCTCTTGTACAGCTATTATAAGTATTAAATAAATGACTACACATAAAATGCTTTGAATAGTGCCTGGTGCACAGCCAGCACTTAACAGATGTAAGTTATTATTATAATTATAGATGGGAATTGAGATTTACAGGAGCTAAGTAGGAAATTTTCTCTTGTAAATTTTCTTACTCTCACCGAAAGTGTGTCCTTCAGGGAAGGCCTCATCACGTGACCTTGACACTCCAGTGCGTGTGCGTGGGGTGGGGGGCGGACTTTCGTTCCTACCCGACTCTATAAATTATTGGCTCTGCCCTGAAGTACATGGAATAAATGGCACCAATAGGACATAGAAAGCAGACGTTGTGTCCAAATATACTGTGTGTGCTTTGGCACAGAGACAATCCATTTTTAGAAAAGCCACATCGAGCTTTGAGGAGAAGTGATGGAAAACAGGAGATGAAGTTCAGCCACCCAGAGCCATGAAATCCTCTGATAGCCATTCCGACCTCCCCAGGCAGCACATCTAATACCAGCAATTCACCCCGATCTTTGCTGATCTTGGAAAGGTCTTAAGCTCTAAGTACAAGAGGTGCATGCCTCAAACCAAGTTGCTTGCAAAAGCTTAAGAATGTACTTGTTATATTTTTGCCTTTACCTAGAGGTTTACTGTGATTGACCTGGGGCCACCAATGAATGCTTAGACACTGAAGAACGTGTGGCAGAGTGACCACAGTTGAAAAAGAAAGTAAAAAGAAAACATTAAAAGGGCATCCACTGGCTGTGTAAGTCTTTTGTCACCTGTCAGGACTGTAGCTTCAGGAGATGTTGCTGTGATACGTCATACAGCCTGTCAGGGTCAGGGCAGGGCCAATTGTGTCCCCGCTGCTCATGCAGGTGGTCGTATCTGTTTCCTAAGACTTCAGTGGCTACAGCTGTATCTCACTGTTGCATCCTCGAGCTCTGTCTCCTGGTGGGCAGCCCTGGAAGGGGTCACTCATGCCATGTGGGATGGACACCATTGTTCTCTGTGCCTCTACCCACGACAGCGGGTTGTCAAGCCCAGACACCATCCAAGGGGCAGAGAGGATTCCTGGTGAAGGTAATCCCAAAGCACATATCCACACTTCCCAGTGAGCTCCTTCTATGTGTCCTGTTTGCTTCCCTTCACAGAAGGGACTTCATGTGAAAGTCAGAGGATTGGTAAATAGATGGTGTGGAGAAGGAACGGGAGGGGAAAAATCAGTATTTTGCCTGCTATTAAGAGATAAGAATTGACATCTGGGGGAAAGATACATCCTTTAGGCGACTGACCGCATGGCTTCTCTGAACCAGCACAATAGCTAATTTGGACTCCTCTCTCCTGGTTGAGAAGACAACCTTGGGAGATCACATGGGGTTTTTCAGCACTAATTTACAATATAATAAGTGACTTTCTTAACCTTAGATTATACAGCACAAGAAAGAAGACACCATTATTTTTTAAAGGAGGGCACTAGGAACAAATGTGAACCAACAAAGCTAAAAGATTGCAAGTTTTTCTAATCTACATGATGTACTTTGTCTACTTATTGTAAGGCTAGGCCCACTGCTTATTACCTTCAAAACTGTTTAAATTTTGGAAGCAAAAGCTCTCATGATAAAAAGTGATATGCAATTGGCTTTGTTTTTCTAGAACACTTAGTTGACTCTGAGCTTAAAATGCCTAAAAATATGACTGCTTTGCTCATTATTGGGAATTTTCATTAATCCAATTTGAATGAGTTAATAGGAAATCTAAATTTTTAGGCATAGTCCTATTTATTAGTATATAAGTTTTAACTAATATAAAGTGATATATTTTAAATAAATCAGTTTTCTCTCTCTTAATATTTTATGTATTCCATTATCCAACACAATTTTACCTCTAAAATGTGAAGCTGAGTTAAATTGTGAAAATGCTCTGTCATTTTATTTGCCAATTAAATAAAAATTCCATAACCTCTTCTTCTTCTTCTTCTTCTTCTTATTATTATTATTATTATTATTATTATTATTATTATTATTTGATACTGGGGATCGCACTCCAGTCCTTGTGCTTTCAAGGCAGGTGGCAGAACCACTGAGCTAAATCCCAGGCCCTAATAACTTCTTATTTTTCTTTTTCGCATATGCTCTGGGTATTCTATTTTGACTTTTCCCCCTTTTGATTAATAATAAAAGTACACAATATAAATAGGGAATACATGACAACTATGTTTTTAGTTCTACTTTCACCACATGTTTCTAAGGGTTTTACAACTTCATCAATATCTTACTGCAAAATATGATTAAGATTCTGAGAAACTGAAAGTATAAATAAGGATCTAAAGGAATAATAGATGATGTAAAATAGGAAGAAAAGGGGAATGGAAAGTGGGAGGGGTAGGGGAAAGGAAAGAAGGGAATGGAATTAATATGAGAAAAGGAAAAAATAGAAACAAAGTCTTTGTAAATAGGGAGGAGTGGAGGGGTTGAATGGAGGGCAGGGGAATGGGGAAAATATAAGAATCAAGATAGATCATGTAAAGTTACACATTTCCAATTATGAATGCCATTATATTGTATGCCTAAATGTACCAATAAAATTAATAATAAAAAATATGACCAAGAGCTGTTGAACAAAAGTTCAAATGTCACCTATGATTTAAACATTAACTTTCTTTAGAAGATGTTAGT